ACAGTTGCCCTTGATCTTTTAAACTTCAGGACAAATATATTAGGCTTTTTGTTCATTTCTCAATAAACCATGAACTTGTACAGACATGGTACTTAATTGTAAAATGGTTAAATGAATCATGCACCATGCAAATATCCCACAAATACTTGGTTCAGGTTATAAGTGACCATAAAAAGTAACTTTTAATGACCCAACCATAGTTGGGCAGGAACTATAGATATTATCTAAACTCAGAATGCAAATTTTTTCTGACCACCAAATCACAAGCCACTAAATCACAGATTACAATGTAGAATTTAATTTTAAAAATGCTAGAAATAACCTTGTCCTATTCAGATCATACATGTAACAACAACCAACAAACTGATAGTGCTTTTCTAAGCATAAACTCTAAATTGCTTGGCCACTGAGTCTACCGAAACACAAATCCTCCTTTTACTGACTGGTATCAATTTCAGTAGAGGAATTGGCATTGTGTTTTGCTGTTGTGGGGAAAAATCTGTTTTCCATTACTGATAGAATTCTGTAAGAAGTGTGAGAGGATGTAAAGATTTACTGTCTTCCGATATTCTTTATCTCTCCACTCTCTGAACCTGCAAAATTTAATGCTATAATTAGGTGACGCATGCAGGTGAGATACATACAGTAAAACTAAATAACCCAGTAATTCGGTTAAATGAAGTCAGTTTGTGGGTTCTCTAAATTAGATTTGATTTCAATCACTTACAGGCATTAATATTATTGGTGACTTTAGAAAAATATTTGACAAATAATATAATATACAGTGACAGAGAGAGAGATGAATCACTTCAGCCAAATGAGATAAAAATTGTTTATGTATGAAATAATACAAAAGTCATTGTAACAGTTTGCATGGTTATATTTCAGAATATGATTCAATTTCTAATACAGATAATTTAATGAAGTCTGTAAGAGCCAAAACATCAGAAACCCAAATCCATGTCTCTTCTGCTTTTCTTTCCCTGTTTCTTTTTCTACTTAATGATAGTGAATCCTTCCCTTCTCACGGCCACTTCATTCTTGTTCTTTGGTAACTTTCCAATATTTGTTTTTCGTCATAAGCATTCATTGTAATTCATTTCTTTCTCCAGTCTTGTCCTATATTCAGGCCACCTAAACTGAAATGATACATTCAGAAACTGTGGTGCTTCTTTTACAATTGCCCTGTAAAAGGCAAAATGTAATATTCACTAGGAATTCCCACTTAGCTTTATAATAAACACAGTCATTTATTAAACAGCAAACAACTACCTAGGATGTGAAGTTAATTCTAGATCTATACGCAATAGCAATATTAGTCTTCCAAGACTAATTATTCAAGGCAAAGGGACACAGGGAATGATTGTATCATATATTTTACAATTGTTTTATCTTCTGTTATATCCAGTTTTAATCAGGGAAGGTAAAAATCTAATGTCTCTAATGAAGGAAAACAACATATTAATAACAAACCTATGAAATCAGGGATGGAGATCTTGATCCCCCTACTAGCAAGCAAATGATATGGATCTTTCCCATCATTTTATACTTTCAGATCTAACTTCAGTTTGGTGTAGTGTTTAAGGCACCAGGCTATAAACCGGGGTATCGTGAGTTCTAGTCCCACCTTAGACACAAAGTCAACTGGGTGACTTTGGGTCAGTCATTCACTGTCCGTCCTAGGGAAGAGGCAATGACAAACTACATCAGAAAACATTGCCAAGAAAACTCCAAGCAGTTGCCAGAAGTTAACACTTACTCAAAGGCACCTACACCCTCCCACCACCCAAAAGAAACCTTATTGTATATGGAAAGTGTTAATCTTTAGCCCAAACTAGGATTCCAAACCTGCTTTTGCCCTGTGATATATCCACATGCATTTTACGTGGGATAGGGTAGAAACACATATGAGTTTATGAGTTTCTATTTATAACAATGTTGCTGATTCCATGTATGTGAACACTTTGTACAGTTAAAAAATGTTAAGTTTATTCCATTTTATTCTATCCATTTGCGTGTTTCCAATTCAGTAAGCAAGTTCTGCATTTTTTCTTTACAAGCTAAAGTAGTGAGGGAAGTTACTGGCATTGCTTTTGGGGAAGTTATTAATTGTGCTTTTCACTAAAAGCATTGAAATGTATCATTTGGTAATTTTCAAGACATGCCTTCAATATACAAATGGGATTTTGAATCCATGCTAGAGTACCAATAGTAGGAACCCATTTATCTTACCTAAGCTGAGCATGATCCAGAACTAGTAAAATCTCTAAACAGTTAGCTGTTCCTTATTGAATATAAAGTTTGTGCTAAATGGCCTATTATTATCCATTACAGTATTATTTATTAAGCATTATTCCAATTATTCCTATAACTGTTACTGTAACTAGATGCTGTTCCTGATACTATTACTACTATTACTAATAATAATACCAATAATACAATTTATATTTCAATGAGATGCTAAAAATTGGGTACAAAATGATTACCAAATTTATCAAGAATATTTTGTCTGACTTTTTAAAAACCCATAGGCAAATATAGGTTAATATGAAAGTATAGTTGGTAATCTTTACCTGCCATGTTGCCCTCTAAAATAATATTCATGTAATATTGTTCTTCCTTAGGGGCAATAGAGGTACAGCCAAAAAGTGACACTTTTTTAATTGCGGGAACGATTAGTAATTGATCTGATATCAGTCACTTCCAAAAAATACGTTGATTTCAGAGAGAGATTACATCCATCCATTCATTCATTCTTAGTTACATAATTACATGGGTTCCAAAAAGGGCATGATGGCTTAGTGGTTAAAGAGCCATTGCCAGCTAGAAATCTGACAGCCCACGTTCAAGATTGGAGCGCCCCCTAGAGTCAAGCCCAATTGGACAGGGGAAACCTTTACCTTACATAGATTGGATTTTTCTCTAAATAGCTGCTGACCACATTCTTGGGTAACTTTTTAATATACCCTCCCAACAACTGCACAGTAGGCTAGACTGGATTGAGATAACATTACCAGCCTACAATCACTAAGAAAATCCATGATGGTTCAAAGACCTAAACAGAGGTCTCTCCAACATCAGCCCTACTAGGAGCGTCCAACATAGTGTGGTCAAAAAGTTAAGACAGTGGTACAAGTGACATAAAAATGGATGGAGGTTTGGGCACCCCATCAAAGCCATATCTTTTTTTTTTTTAACCACAGCCCTGAGTCACACATTCTAATTTGTCTCTCCAGTGTGTCAACTTGTACAAAATTCCCATTTTCTCCTCCAATAGCTGCTCTTATTTATTTGATTGCTTCTTTTATTTCAATATCTATGCCACCCTTTTCCCACAGAGCATCAATATAGTAATCAGTTTTCTACACAATATAAAGGAACAATAACTGATTTTTTAAAAATCCTGAAATTATGAGCTGTGCAACTCAAAACATTTGCCAATTCAAATCTGAAAATAAGCATCTCTTTTTGATTTATTCAGCATTCATGTGAGCGGCAAAACCCTGTTTTAAAGCACCTCAAATTCTTTTTAATATCCAACATGTTAAAGCAACTTCATTTTTTCCCCATTACATAAAATTAACAAGATAAAACAACCCCAATCCTGAAAACATTTTCTTAAAAATAAGATATGTAATTCAACAAATGCATGTTCATAATTTACTGTCTGAGATTATTGTGAGCTGCTCATTTGACAGATAACTACAATTTCATATCATATTGTGCTTTTCAGTGAAATCAGTTTATACACCAAAAGGTTGCCCTACACAGTGATTATGTGTAGAGAAATCAAGGACATTCATGGATATATATATATTTCAATGGGCTTCATATGAAATATAATACGCATTTGTGTTAGAGAGTTAAGAGTTCCATTCACCAAGTGCTACTTGCTTGTAAGACTTGCTGAAATGAAAGGGGGTGATTTTACAGGCATCATTTCATACAATTACACAAAAGCAGTTCATTCAACAATTTGGGGATAAAGGGAAACACAGGTAACTGTTTGCAGCCAATGACAATGGCATAAATAGCACACCCCGAATTTCTCAAACATTTCCACAATTAAAAGTATCATATCTACAGAGAACTATGATCAAACTGCACAAATGTAAAAAAAAAAAGAATGCATTGCTTGATGAACCATCTTTACAGGTATAAACAGCAGACATTTTTCTGTTAAATAAGCAAATAGGTCCATGTGAAATTATTAACAAAATCTGTCCTAAGGCATGTTCCCATCAACAAAGATAAAATGCATTTAGTGCCAACTTTTCCCATTCCCTTTATTCAAAGCCTATATATTGATGATTATTTTTTTTTTAGATTTGTCTGATCCATTTCCCATCACTGTCATTTAGGCTCAGTAGTCGATTCAGATTGCCTCAAAGCATTTAGAAAATATAGCATGCAGCTGTCTCAAATATATCAATAATACCTCTGTACAGTTCGGCAAGGTTAGGACTGCAAACTCCGTTCTATTGAAAACAATGCTGTGATGATTTATGCACTGTTGACCAGTCCATATGCATATCTGATTTTCTGCCAAAAGAAAGATATATGACTCTGAGCACAAGTGAATTTAAGAATATGGATCAATATAAAGGCTCTTGAAACTTAAACATGGATTTAGATATGGTTATAGTTAATCTGAAGACTAAGGAAATATAATTATGGTACAACATACACTATAGAAGCAAAAGGAAGGAAAAAAGGAAAAGGAAGTAATTCATTTTCTATTTGTAAATAGTAGAGAATTGGATCTCAAATAATTTTGATTATTTTTATATAATTTTATGTAATTATAATAGAATTATTTATAGTTGTTCTGGACATATTTCAACAGCCAAGAAGGAGAGAGAAATCCTTTGATTTCTGTACTAATTTTAATTTACGGAAATGTAAAATATTTTTCTCCAATATTTGCAATGACATTTGCCATTCAAAACAAACGTATTAGTGAAAATAAAACCTTACATGTATTGTCTATACATGTCTGTACATGCAGTATAGACCAGAAACGTCTTTGCAGCATTATATATATAAATATATTCAAGAAAATAATCTGCAGATTGCATTTGATTAGAGAAAATTGTTTGCAAAAATGGTATATAATGCTTGGAAAAAGCACGTAAATACTTTACCTTGTGACATAAACTTTTTTTAAAAAAAAAAACCTAAAGATGTACTAGCATGGGAGAGTTCAATTTAATGAATGAAGGGGAGGAAATGAATTAAGGGGGAAAAAACAAAATAAGGTAAAATTCTCCCATTTCTAATAATGACCACAGGATGCAAATATGGGCCCTATAACTAAAGTCCACCTTATGATAGTTCAGCTTTTTTAATTTCCAGCTTTTGCAGTTTAACGTGTAAGGGGACTCTAAGCAATTTCACATTTTTCCTTCCTTTATTTAGAAACATCCACATTTATTAGTGGACCTTCCAAATTTGGGGGAGCTTTTAAGAGCCTGCATGAGTAGACAACAGGCAGCCTCCAACCCAATATTTGGAGTCCCTTCTAAATATAATTACTAAAAATTGGTGGCATATTGTAAGGTGAGAAATACATAGAAATTGTAACATAGGGCCTAAAATAGACTAACATCATTATCTAAATGATGTTTACATAATTTACTAACACCCATCTAAAACAATTAATACTATATCCCTGAAATGTTCATATAATGAAAAATGATAAAGATGTTTTGTGTGCTTACACAGACACACAGACACACATGCATATACTGCACATAAGTAAACTGCATTTTCTGGATCATGCTATATTGCTACTTATCCATGTATATTTCCCTATTTTAGCACCATGACACTGTAAGGAAAAACAAACCCTACAAATGTTTTAGATATAATCCAGGCCATGAATATAAAAAGAGGCAATAACGTAATATTCTTATATTCTAGATAGATACACCAGTTTCATCATCATATATCAGTGCAATGTTACTAACATAGATGCATATATAAAAGAAAGTTAACTTTCTATTTTATAAAAATTATTTTTTTTTAGCAATTTACCAAGGGCATTTGCACCTTTGCCATAATGAAGAAAAGCAAAAAAAAAAAAAAAGTATCTATAACTAGATAAAAATGGAAGGAAAATATAAAATCCAGTATTTCAAGTGGGGCTCTTTAGCCAAGCCTTTGACTAAACATAGAATTCAATGTTTGAACTTCAAGTATGGCACTTGTTGTAGTAAGGGCAAATAGGTTTTGTTTTTTCACAGTTAGTGATCCATTCTGTTCCTTTGGTATACGTAATTTTAAAATCCAGGTAATTACTTCAACTAGCTGGATTTTAAATCACTACACATCTTCCTCACCCGCATAGTGTGGAACTGTGATTTTTTTTTTAAACAAATCTATTTCATAAATTTGATGGGCCACAATTAGCTGTATGACAATTAAAATTATATTGACCTCAGTATGTTCATTATTATTATTGTACCAAAATCGATGTTAGAAAAAATAAACGCTAAGCATACACAGTATTTAACTGCTTAATGCCAAAAGAGAGTGTGATGTTAGGTACCCACAAGATGAGGTTTGAGGTGATCAGTACTGGCAGTTTTGCAATCATGTGCTTAGAGAGTAGGAATCTCTCCCTTCCCTTCCCCCCCCCTCACCCCAACTTTTGTAGAAATGCTTCCCATCATCCTTCTCTTTTGACAATAACATCCTGGGCATGTTTTCCTTCAGGCATACAAATGGAGTGATACTAATCATGGCCAAAAGATTGTGCTCTTCAACAAATAGCATTGGATCCTGGGGGGAGGGGAGAGGAGGGGAAGGGAAGGGAAGGGAAGGGAAGGGAAGGGAAGGGAAGGGAAGGGAGGGCAGGGCAGGGCAGGGCAGAAGTAATGGAGCGGTAAGGCCAGATTGCAGGTGTTGAACCACTGTGTTTTTATCCATCTTTTACAATTGTTGTTGTTGTTGTTATCAGCACTCGGGTTTGAATCTGGTCTAGAAAGTGCACAGAGAATACTTTAACGGCTTTCTTGGTGGTTGTAGGAAAACAGTTGTTTAATCAATGTTCCTTCCCTAATGGCAGCTGGCCAAGATACACAGCAAAGCATTCTGGTTCTGCCAGTCTCACACATAAGCAGAGTCACTAGACTGAGTCCTGCCAAAGTTAGGCACACTCATGCGTGGCAGGTCCTTGTTCCTGATTTCGTATATTGATTTCCGTTTAGCTTGTGCTCCTCTCACAGCCATTTTGATCTTTCTCCAACCTAAGTGGTTCAGTTCAGCTAAGTTGAGCACCACACAAATGCCACTCACGGCAAACATGAAGACCAAGAAAACTGTCTTTTCGGTGGGCCTGGAGACATAGCACTCGACTTCCTTAATGCAGGGGTATCTGTCGCATTCATACATGGAAGGGACATTGAATCCATACAGAAAATATTGTCCAACCAGGAACCCAATCTCCAGGGCATTTCTGAAGACCACCTGAATGATATAAAATCTAGAGATGCCTTCTTGGCGCCTCATCTTTGACTTTGAGGTTCTTATGGCTGGATTGGGAATTTCCTTCACTTCCAAGCAATCAGGCTCTGCTTCCTTGGTGGAGTTTTCAGTGTTTTGCAGCACCCCATTGACAATGGTGTTCTTGATTTTCTTACTGTCATCCCGCTTCATGGAGTCCTGATCTCGATCCAAGGCAAGGAAAACTGTAGAATACCTCATTTCCCTCTGCTTGGCAGACTGATGAACTGAGTACGTTATAAAACAGAGACTAGGAGTGCACACCATGATGATTTGAAATACCCAATATCTAATGTGAGAAATAGGAAATGCTTGGTCATAACATGCCTGGTTGCAGCCTGGCTGCAAGGTGTTGCACACAAACATAGTCTGCTCATCATCATACACAGTTTCACCTACAATCGCCACAATAAGAATCCTGAAGATCACCACCACGGTCAGCAGAATCCTACAAAACAAAGGTTGGGTGAATGCACATGTATAGGGTTGGAGTGGAATTTAAAACAACAACAACACAGAATTCATTGGGCACTGTCTACATTGTCATATTGCGACTAAGGACCAAGGAGGCCTTCAGCCCTCAGTCATAAAAGCTCAGTGAATGGCCCTGGGCTAGTTTGTTCCTCCCAGCCTATTTCACTCTTTCAAGAGTAAAAAATGGAGAAGAAGATGGTATGTGCACTGCTTTCAGTTTCTGGAGGAAAGGTTGAGTATACATCTAATGAACACAAAAATAATATTTGAGGACCTAACCTTAATGCTATGAACGTTGGTGCATTTATTATAGTTGTTTCTATTGTTTGGTTTTGCTTTTTTAACTGTTTCTCTGGCCACTTTTTAATATTGTTAATATGACATACACATTTATTAAAACATCATTCATCCATGCAATTCCTACGTTTTTGAGTTGAATGAATGAAATGATTTCCTGGCTGTTTTCATTGCAGTTAAGCAGAACTGTCCAGTGCTGAATTTGTATGGCACTCACCCACAAAGAACTTCATAGCTTTTGTTGAATGGTTTGATTTTATGAAACAATGCACTTCTCTCTAGGGACATTTACAGCAAGTAGGAAAAACCTACTTCCTCGGTTTCTGAGAGTACACAAAGCTTAATTCTATTAACAAAGGACAAAGTCTATAACAGCGGTCACTTGAGAAGCACTTTCTCCCTCCCCTTCCCCTTCCTGAGCCTCTGCTGCGGTACAACAGAAGTTGATCAATTAAAAAAGAAAGTGAAATGAAAACCAGCAGTGCATCTCCCATTTTCCTATGGTTTGCAATATATTGATCAACCATTACAAATCGTAACTGAGAAGAGAGGCAAATCAGAGGCAAGGAGGCTGCTTGCCCTTACTTTACCCTTGTTGCTATTATTACTATTATTTGCACACTGCAATCACCAGCTAGATTAGAGATTACTCTTGGGACTTAAAAATAAATAAATCTACCCAAAAATATATCCCATCCATATTTTTTTTTCATTAAATATTAATTCAAGAACCTTTGTTTATGAGCACACGAATGGGAGCGAAAACTGAGAAGTAGATTGTACAGAACTTAAAAAGTCTCCCCTGAACTCTGCAATAAAATACAGAAATGAAGGCATGTGAGAAGTGGGAAACGCCAGTCCTGTGCAGCAGGCAAGCAAGTTTTATTGAACAAATAATTTGAGGACAAGGAAGGAAGGAAGAAGGGTCAGTCAAGGTGTCCCGTTCAGGCTGCAGCCTTGCAGCTCCCTTCCTCGAGGGGAGGAAAAAAACAACCACCACAATCCCTTAAGAGACTTTTCTTCCAAATTCCTGCCTTCGGAATTGGAGAAATGACAGCCAAGCAGACACTTCCGAAATGAGTTTACAGCCTCCGCGGCAGCTTTGCTGAAAATCAGCTGGTCAAGCGGGCAAAGGGAACTCAGGAGAAGGGAAGGGAAAGGAAGTGGGGGAGGAGAAGATCCCAAACTGGCCGGCTGGGAGGCTGTGGATCGGGCTTACCTCCCTATCATAGTAGAGTGCTGCTGGACAGCGGCTTCGAGGAGTCTCTCTAGGATGGTCCATTCCCCCATCGCGGTTCATCTGGAGGGGAAAGCTCGGCGGCGGCGGCGGCACCAGCGACCTCACCACAGCGGCCGAGAAGCACCAGCCTGAGCCGGGCCTCCTTGTCCTGCGAGTCGAAGCCCCGACCCCCGGGGGGCGGGCTGCTTGCAAGGCAGGGCGGCGGCTCCGGGGAGCCAGCTTAGGCGGCGATCGCCTTCCGTGTCTCTCTGCCTGCCTCCCCGCCGCCTTTAAGTAGGCTCTGCTTGCGTCACGGCCAGGTTGGAGGGGAGCAGCTAAGCGGCGGCGCCACAAGCTGCAAGGGATCGCCGCCTCCCCCGCCGCCAGGTTGCCAAAGGTTCCGGCGCGAAGGGGCAATTCTTCGCCGCGATCTGGTCCCCCACTCCGTCCAGGTGCCACTTTGCGGAGGGGCCGCCCGGCATCCAGGCAGGTAAGGGCGAGATGGGAGGTCCCCACCCCACCCCACCCCCAGCCCGTTAGCATCCTCGCGGCTGGATCCATTTGCCTCGAGTCCTTGTGGCTGGGCCTTCGGCGGGCTCTTGAAGTGAAGAGAAAGGCCTTTCCTTGGCCCGGGCTAGCCGGGTTTGGGTGTGAAAGAAGGCACGAGAGTGTCGGGCGTGCTGGAGACCGACAGTGGGGAGAATCGGGACGCAGAATCGAGATGACTTCCTCCGAACCTACAAAGCAACGTCTGTTTGATCCGGTCCTCGTGCAGAAAGGTTCGGTGAAGATGAACAGAGCAGGTCGCCAAAGCAGCTCCTGCTTTGAAGAGAAATTGCCCTTGTTTGAGAAATGCCTTTGTGGTAGGTGAATCCTTCCCTAAGAAGGCACCCTTTCCCGGTGCTTTATTTCTCTTCACCTCCACTCAGAGCTTCAAGGTAAGACGAGGAGACCTTAGCATAAGATTAGTAGAGGGAGGAAAGGGCAATTGGACTGAGTTGCATATTTTAGCACTCTTGGCAACTGCTGACCCTTCTGCACCAGTGGAAAGGGGAGGGTTGGGCAGAAAGGATTATCAATTCCCTTCTGTGGTGTGTGTGTGTGTGAGAGAGAGAGATGGGGAGGGGCTGTTCTTAAGACATCCATCTAATCGAATGGTGTTCTTATCGAAGGGGCTTGTTTCACGTGCCACACGTTATGTCACGTTCTTCGAAATGTGATGGTCATCCTGCTGGGTTTGGAACTTTGCCATGGATTTTGCCATCAAGCTCCTGGAGGAAACTCCTGAGATGCCACCAGGTTCACAAGCATCCACAGAAGGGGTCCAAATGATGTCAGAATGGCAGCTGCATCTCCACACTTTTGGAGCCTTGTCTCCTTTTCATATGCATTCTATATACCCAGCCAAGGGAGAAAACATGTATGGCTTCACCAACAGCATGTGGCCAAGCAACTCTCCAAAATTGGGAATCAGCCCAGAAGCACCATGAAGTGGCTTGTAATGTCATCTTCTAAAATCAAGACTTCTAATATATTACAAAATTGGTGGAGCTGTATTTCTAGGGCAGCACATCTCCTCTCGATGTACATTTTTTAAAAATTTTTGATAAAATTGTAACACATGGATTTCAAAACAGTTTTTGCAGATGTGTGTATCAGTTACCAGTAAGAGAGTCGTGGCAAGCTGTAACGTCTACTGTGTCAACACTCAGCGGCAAACCCGAGTGTGATGCTGAGAAATGTATGAAGTCAACCAATGAGTCATTGCTCAATGTTCTGTTTCACAGTTCAAGCTGGCACTTTGCTCTGTCTTCCCTACTGAATGTACATGTCGTTCTGACAGCACAAAAATGAAGCCATGGATGCAGCTGCAGTAAGCACAAAGGAATCAGGCAAATCTGTCTTGGCTGCATGATATGTGGCATTTCAGTCTAATTCTTGACTTTGGATATTAAACATGACCTGGCATTGTAATTTCACAGCTCTGGGTTTTAATGTACACTAATTATACAGCAACATGGATAACCATCAAATGCCATGGGCACCAAGCTAGATGGTATAAATATCCCAGAGAAGAATGACCCTGAAGCTTTGAAGAAGGAAGCATGCAGAAAGTTGCTTAGCAGTTTTCTAGTTGGCTGCCCTTGCGTTTCAGTGAATGTGGCTGAATGTCTTCTGATGACAATCCTGAAAGATAAACTGCAGAGGTGAGGAAGTAAATCAGAAGCAGGCCTGTTTTATGTCAACTTTACTCAACTCCTTTCTTCACTGAAGATGTTATACTGTAATAATTTTCTGAATCCCTTTTTAATTAGGGAGAAAAATGAAACAAAATTGTTTCAGCTCCCTAGGAACTGTCATTTGTAGCTGCATACCCATTGTTGCAGACAATGAAGACTTTGTATCTTGTAATAATTAAAGAATATAAAAACATCGCTTTCAGTACTAAAACAATATATTTAATGGCTGCCTGGAAGTAATATTCAGCTTGTTGAAATATGTTGCACAATATTTCAGACTGATAATTTTCAAATAGAAAAGTATGCTGGGGGAAAAAGAGGTCACATATTATCTGCTGCCACTGGACACTGTTGTGGTGCAGGTCAGTGAACAATAATAAGTATTTGCTTTATACAAACCACTTTTCAAAATGCAGGTACGACCACAATTGAGCACAAAATTTCAATTGCTCTGCAAGACAAGTGTTAAGTGAGTTTTGCCCAGGGATGCTATTCAGCAGGTTCTGACAGGTTCTGGAGAACTGAAATGTTGAGTAGTTCAGAGAACCGGCAAATACCACCTCTGGCTGGCCCCAGAGTGGGGTGGGAATGGAGATTTTGCAATATCCTTCCCTTGGAGTAGGGTGGGATGGAGATTTTGCAGTATCCGTCCCCTGCCATGCCCACCAAGCCATACCCACAGAACCGGTAGTAAAAAAATTTGGATTTCACCACCGGTTTTGCCCCATTTTATGACCTTTCTTGCCACAGTTGTTAAGGGAATCACTACAGTTGTTAAGTTAGGAACATGGTTATTAAATGAATCTGGTTTCCCTATTAATTTTGCTTGTCAGAAGTTGATCACATGACCTGGGACACTGCAACCATCATAAATACATGTCAGTTGCCAAGTGTCCAAATTTTGATCATGTGAGCATGAGAATGCTGCAATGGTCATAAGTGTGTCACTTTTTTCAGTGCCATTCAAACTTTGAACAGTCATTAAACAAAAGATTGTAAGTCAAGGACTATCCCTAAAAGATGGATTCCCAAGCACTATATACCTATAGTACCAACTGCAGATCATTTATAGATCACACATAATGAGGATTCCCACCAACTCTGGCTTAGAATAGGCATTGCTATGCTAATCCCTCTTCCACTGTTACCTTTTAATCTCTGAATTATGAACAAATTGTTTTCATTTCCTTAGGAATACAATACACAAAAAATAGAGCTAAACTGCAAATTGTTGAATTTAAAATAACAGCCTGGAAATAAATATGAGACATGGAGCAAAAGAAAGCATCTCGAAGGTCTTCTGGAGAATTGATGAATGTATAGTTTTTCAGACTGTTTTTTAGTCTGCTGTTCAGACTCTGTCCTTCGTTGAATGGGACATTTTTGTTACTACAGTTGCCCTATTTCTTATTTACCACACTACAAAATTAATGGTGGTGTTATTTTCTATAGTTTACAAGGAATTAGTATTTAATAAAGGTGCAATAGTTTTGGCATTTAAAAAAAGGTAAAACTAATTCATTAAAAAAACATAAAATGCTATTTAATATCTACACAAAGCCATTAAGTGATACTATTCAGTGGCTGAGGTATGAAATATCAATGAGTAGAAGGAACCCAGTTGTATCTCTGTATCCCAAATAGGCATGAATAATGGTAGAAGTCTTGACCCAGTGTCACAGGGCTGTAAAAATCGGGATCTATAGCAACAATGAGATTTAAATTTTAAAAAAATAAGAAATTGTTATTATTTCTTAAGCACCATTGCCCAGGAGATGCCCAGTTGGGGATTCCTTTCATGTCCCTGTTAAATGCCCACTAAAGTGATACCTATTTATCTGACTGACATTAACTCTAGATCGGGTTTTGTGCCCACAGAATAAACTGATCTATAATCTTGGGTGCTCTTAGACCAACAGCTTTTGCTGAAACAATACATGGAAACTGCATCAAGGACACCTTTGATTACTTTTGACTTCTGTGTCATTACAGCTATTCCTAGTACATTCTCCTTTTCATATCTTGATTGGACTATTATGAGTGTACGTGGGACATGCCCTTGTCTGGGCATGTCCCATGTACAGCTGGTAGAAAATGCAACTTCCTGTGGAGTAATGACAATGCCCTGATATTGTCATGTAACGGTCTGCATTATTTTATGGTTGTTTATGGGTGAAGTTCAAGGTGCTAATAAGTTATAAACCACTAAAACTCACCTAACCTTTAGCTGTGCAGAATAGTGCATTTTAGGGTAATGATTTTGAAACCAAGGTACCTCAAATGAGTTAACTTATAGAATGCGCTCCAAATTTGGAACCCCGTGACTCCTGTGGAATTGAAATTGGGCATATTTTATAAAACATTTTATAACATAATACAAAATGTCACAAAACATTTCCTGTGCTCAATTGCTGATGTTTTACTATGCTGTAAAATTCAACACGGGCCATTTTCAAGGCAGATACATCTCTGAATAGCTCCCTGATTTTTTTTGAAAAGTTTCCCCTGAAAGCACTACCTTAGTTCTGCCATTGTTGAAGGCATCGAGGAATCTGGTAATTCATATCTCTGAAATGATGACCTAACAGATCACGGGTTGTCTAGTAACCTTATAATGCTCTACAAGCCTGCCACTAAGGAGTTTGTGAGGCTATTTGCTCCAAACAAAATGTGTCCACCAAGCAATGCTGGTAGACAGTGCATAATAAGAGTCCTGCTTTCCATTAACAATTGTGGAGGAGACATTCTTTGCCAGAGTTCCTTCCTGTGAAATCATCACCCACAACCTTTTTAACATACAGAAAGCTTATTCACATATGGGTGTTTAAGTGGGCATTTGGGGATTGAATGGTCTGGTGAAATATGCATATGTGGGCCGGGGGGGTACTACTTCTTCCTGTTTTATTGCTATTGTGCCATTGATTTCGTTGTGATACACAATGTGTGTGTGTGTGTTTGTGTATGTACACACATACACGTATATATATTATAAAACTTTTGTAAGTTGCTTAGGTTCACTTGATTGAAGTGACATTAAAGCATTTGTGACACATGGAATATAAGCTAGATCTTTTTAAAACGTTTCTTTGGGTAGATGGGCAGTTATGAGCATTTGTTTAATTGATAAATAAATGTTTTTATTTGTATTTACCATGCTATTAAAAACTGCCCTGCATAAAAGAAATACATCTCTGTGCATATCAAATCTGCTTACGCAGTATCCTTACCATAGGTAACTTGCAAGGTATGTCCTGTGTTCTGGTTTTAATATAGAAAGTGGCATTTATTTCATTATAAAACAAGGACAACTCAGATTGCTTGTCAGGAATGATAGGTCAACTTGACTAGAGGCCCTTCTCCACGTACATCTAACCATGACACAAAATATTGTGTTCTCTCAGTCTTAAATCATCCTTAGCTATATGGACATTAATGTAGAATTGTCTTCCTTATTTTGACACTGTCCAAAGATAGCCTCAAAATGTATAAACCAGTGGTGAAATTCAATTTTTTTTACTACCGGTTCTGTGGGCGTGGCTTGGTGGGTGTGGTGTGGCTTGGTAGGCATGGCAGGGGAAGGATACTGCAAAATCCCCATTCCTCCCCACTCCTGGGGGAAGTATATTGCAAAATCTCCATTCCCACTCCACTCTGAGGTCAGCCAGAGGTGGTATTTTGCTGGTTTTCTGAACGACTCAAAATTTCCGCTACCTATGCTCCAGAACCTGTCAGACCCTGCTGAATAGCACCCCTGGTATAAACCCCATTTGGCTTGTTACCTATTAGCTTAAATGGAAGTCAGGTGACTGTGGTGACTTGAAACCAAGGCAATAAAAACAGGGACAGGATTAACAGTGGGGGTCAGCCAATTTGATGCCAGTATAGTTTTTGGCAACTCAAAGATAAGTGAATAACACCAACTCAGCAGTGGAAAAAAGCCCCAAGAGATGCAACTCATTTGTGATTCTCTTCCAGCTGAACTTCAGCTGAAGATGCCTCATGATGCCTCAGCTAAAGATTTACAATACAATTCATGGTTTTCCAAAGCCACTGATATATATTCTTTCCCCCCAAAATTAATGCTTTTGATTTTCTGAGAAACGATTCTGGATTTCCTCCCAATTATTATGTTTGTATGCTTACTTTTTGAAATGACAAGAAAGATTGTCACAGGGGTAGGCACCGTATGGCATGACAGATGTTGCTGAAGTACAATTCCCAGGAAGTGTGCCAAATAGTGAAGGAATTGTATTTCAATCACCTCTGCCAGGCCATAAGTGTCAAACTCATTACTTAAGAACCTCAAAATAAGTGTGTATAAGATAAAGTCCAGGTGAGACAAGATTGTTATGTGTAATGAGAAAGAATCTATGGCTAATTCTATATTTATCAGCTATTTTCATCTTGCCCATATCAAAAGGAAAAGGACACTGCAGATCCAGCAGTCAGAGAAATAAATCAAGAATCTCCAGAATTTGGAGGAAGCTGAGGTTGCTGATTAGGACATACATATTTTTATGAGGTCAAAGGATTTATTTTCTTTTGTCACCAGCTTCCAGTGATTCTGTGTTTCAATTTAATTTTAACTCCTGACACTGACATGTGAAAGGAAGAAAATGTTCAAATATATGTGTAGTTCTTTTAAGGTGAATAATTGCATTTTGCCAGTGTTGCTCGTCTTTATGCTTGTAAATAGCACTTCTAAGTGCGAGACGTGAAGTATTTTGATGAACAAGTGCAATTTCTAAGACTAAGGCTATCTTAGTGTTTGGTTTAACCCACAGCAGCTAAAAATTAGCTGCTGAAATGAAAACACCCATCAAGTTCTCACAGCCATCTGCTCTGCTGTGTTTTTCAGTTTGTGCCTGTGTGAGCATTGATGATTTTATCAGATGAGATACTTTATTCATAAAATCATAGGAGGACACCTTTTTTATGCCTTCCTGTTATAACTTCCTGCAGGAGGTGTGCAAAATTTGCCCTTTTTGTAATTTATTTTCATTGCTGAACCTCAGTTGGTCATTCAGAATAGAACTGTCAACTGTTTCAATCTTTGCAGCATCAGAGGTGTTAAATAGTTTGGATATAAAACCACCCAAGATAATCTTGAAGATAAAATTTGAATATCGAAATAAATCATATTCTTCTGCTTTAGCATTTTTGAATTAGCATAGGCTACTAAGGTGCCTAGGAAGTGCAAGGGGAAAGATGACAGAAATTAGAAAATAGTTTGGCAATGGCAGGCACCCAAGATGAACTTTGAATACAGATGCTATTCTTATTAGCTTTCTTAAACATATGGCACAATGGAGGAATTATCTTAATTGATCAGATAGCTATTTATATGCTTTGCTAAAATGCTATTTAACAATAAGGAGGTAAAAACACCCACTTCTCAGCCTTTTGGTTAAGATCAAACGTAGTAAGAAAAAATGGAGTGGTGAAAGAATACAGTGGGATGAGGTTCCACTAAATATATCTTCCTTTTACTATATAATAATTTTATTAAACATTACATAAACAGATAAAATCTAATAAAAACTACCAAAAATAAAAAATAAAAAACGTGGGGGGGGAGAGAAATTGTATAAAGAGGGAATAATATTAAAAAATAGAAAACAAAAAATAAAGATATAGCATAAAAAAGAGGAAAATATATAAAATGGTAACTTCTCCCTTCTTCAAAAGAAATATAAACATTTTTGACAATTTATACCGTCTCTTAAAATACAACAAATGATCTCTTCATCCCATATCTCATTTCTTATCTATAAACAGATCCTTAAAACCTTGCCATTCAGACTTGGTCTGTAAAAGTCCAATAAGAGTTACCAGAAATAACAACATATCTATTTTAAACTTGATCAAATTGCACCCACTTTATATTCCTTCCTTTTAATAAACTTAATTGTTAATCCCTTTAAATACTGTCCCACAACTTGCTTTCATTTCATTTCTTTCTTTGTCTCTTTTCACAAAATCTTTCAAAATTAACAGATCTCTTTTATAAATCCAGTATAAAAGTTATCCAAGTCATTTTTTTTGCTTTGCCATTTGTATGTCTTTTAATTATTAAGATATCAAACAGTTTCATTTGAATATACAGTGTAGCATCTTTTTCTCTGTTGTTCTTGTCACTTTTCAATTGACTTTCAGTTCAGGCTCAGTCTTGTCTGGTAAACTATGTTCCTCTTCCAAAACATATTTTTAAATACAGTATATCTATAATGGCAGACACTTTTAAGATTAATTTCTGGATTCATTGCTCACAAATATATTCCATTATGTCTGATGTTAAAGTATTTTGATGCATTCTGGGTTAGTAAGTCAATATTAAGTGTTCTTCTCCTTTAATAGTAATCTTTAATTCCTCTTGGTTCCCTTTAGTATCCAATATTCAAATTTCCATCCTATCATATTTTCTTTTAAAAATTCAAAACAACTGCATTTTCCCATGGGAAGAATTCTGAAGATTAATTCCAAAATCTTATTTAAAATCCATCCAGAAATTTAGTCCATTTGTAACTTTCCAAAATCAACATTCTAATCACCTTTTTGCTGTTTATTAAAAGAAAAGGTATTTTAATGTCCTTAAATGTATGTTTAAATTTTGTTTGCCTAAGGATTAAACATAACTCACCTGGTGAGTTTTATAAAATTTATTGATCAAAAGAGTTGAAAAACAGTTAAAAGGCAATTTACAGAAGTGATTGAGATATAAGGGTGGGTAGAACTTTGTAAGGGTATATTATGGCTGTGAGCTTGGTAGAACCCCTCAGTTCCCAGCCCTTCAAAACCTTATGAGCTGATTGCAGAAGTCTCAGTTCCTGCCATTTACTCATGAGGTGCAGCTGTCTGGAGTGCAAGTGGGTGATCTCACGATCTCTCCTTTATTGGAGAATCTTCGCCAGCCATATATCACCTTCCTGCTGCTGATCTCATCACAATGCCGTCTCTGCTCCTTTGGAGACATTTAGTTGGCCATGAATCTTTATCAGAACCACTAATTATATCTTTGATGCTTGCCAAAAGTTTCCTGTTGGAGAAGAAACTGTTTATTGTCCAATCTCACCACTTTAAAAGAAAATAAAGCACCAAGATGAAAATAAGATTATTCGGTCTGAAGTAAATTAATACCAAATTGGCACTGGAGAATCTGCAGCCCAATTTGATACATCATTCTTGTAACCCTGTGGGTATAGTAGTGCTTTCTCAAAGATAATATTTGAAGGGCAAACAAGGAGCTAAAATGGAATGAATATACAAACAGGAAGAGCTCAGGTTAAAAGCACAGATGCTCAAAGGCCTAAAAGAGGTAAAACTGCTCATATATTTTTTGAAAATCAACATTTTTTTTTCTGTAAAACTTTGGAAATGAATTAAAATAGGAGTATCTGTATATTTAATTCAGTGATTATTTGAGGACTGTTTGATCCTATCTCTAAATAAATCATTTGCCCAAATTGAATCACTAAATCACTTTAAATTATCAATCTGAATTACATGCTTCTGGATTTATTTAGACTATGCAAATGACTTCTCATCAAATAATCATCTTGGAGATAACTAATCCTTGAAATGCTAGAAATCAAGGAATTCTTTATTCTCACAGGATAACAAAGAAGGTAGCTCCTTTTGTGATTAAGTCTTCAAGATTCAGATGCTGTTTGCACTTAGGAAGGTATACCGTCATAATGGTTCCAAATTCTGAAATAACTATTTGCTTCTTTTCCCCTGTCTCCAAAACAACTATTTAAGACAGTGGTCCCAGCATTGTTAGATGGAAATACTTTCCATCTGTGTTTAATTGAGAAAGTATAATGGCTGGTGAGAAGAAATTCGGGGATATTTAAATATAAAAAAGCTGCCTAGGATTGCCTTTTTGGTGAGAGAGGTGGCATATAAATTTAATAAATAAAATAAATAAAAATTGCTTTTGAATCAAATACAATGCTCCTCACTTTTGTCTTTATTCAAATAATGAAACTTGTTCACACTGCAAGCAATGTTGGCTTCAATTGAGGGTTGTTTATATATTTGGTTACATATGTCTTGGGCATTCCTGATCACCTCTCCTCTCTGTTTTCACTACCTTCCAAACAGTTTTCACATTATAATAAATCATAACTTGTGAAGCAGCCCACTGAAATGACCAGAGATGTACTGTGGTTGATTTGAAGTGAA